AAGGGAGAAAATATAGAGGAAACTCAACTATAAACACGGAACAAAACATGCAGATGAAGAGAATATTGAACAGAAAAAAAACATAGATGGATGTCAACCTTTGTCAGCAATAAGAGTAAGCACGTTTTTGGATGCCAATTGTTGATTGAAAGATAAGTTATGCTAAGCATAGAGAACTCTAACATGCTCCACTCCACCCGCATTCCATACATTCTTACCGCGTTCCCTCATCTAGGTTCAAATTCACCCTACTAGGTAGCACTTCATGACTCCACGAAGGAGCCGGAACAACGATAAGACAATGAAATCAAGGAGAACCCGACATCTTACCAAGACATGCTCTCTCCATATGCTTGAAATCTAGCTCCCTCCACCGACTAGTGACTCAACCAATTCTAAGTCAAAAGGACTTCAAAAAGGGTTGTAACGCAGGCTGGGAGGTAAAGATGAGGGAAAATTTGAAAAATTTGGTAGTTAATCCTAATTGTGAAGAAAAGAATGAGGCCGATTCTCAAAACAACGTAGAATATCTCCAAATTTCCAAACAAAATTACATCTCCCCCAAGCTTATTCAACACAAACTCACCATACTATATACAAGACGCGTAGAGCCTCTCCCCCAAGCTTGAGTGGAGCATTGTCCTCAATGCTTAGACGAGTGGGGTAAATGACATCACTTTTTTTTTTTCATTTATTTTTTTTTACTATTTACGGTTTTTTTTTTCTTGCATACACACGTGCTTTCCATTTTTAACCATTACCTTCCATCTTTTCAAACCAAAAGCACAATAAACTCTCATGGCTCAAACTTCACAAGTCTAAGGTAAAGAAAAGAAATAGATGGACCATGGGGTTTTTAATGTGCTATAATAAGGAAGATGGGGCTCAACATGGCTAGCAAGGGGCAAATGCAATTAAAATTACAAGAAAGCAACAAAAGAAGAGAGAAGCCTAGAAAAGCAAAATAGTCACCGAAGAAAATGCCTTTGTCCTCCCTAGATTAGTTAGGTCGCGATCTCGGAAACTAGAAATCAAGTTCTCGATTTAAGCATGCCTTGGTAGGGATCCTATGCCGCTCATACAAGAAGTGCTGGAGGCTCGAACAATAAAACTCACATCGGGTTACAAAAACGACCTTTAGGGCTTCAAATCCCCTAATGAGGGCAACACCTTCTTACCACAAACAAGTGAATTTGGGTTCGATGGGCCTTACGAGTTCTAGCACAACTACCTTAGCATAGAAATATCCTAGAGTCAACCAATGGCAATCCAAGAGCGCAGAAACTCTTAAACCTTAGGAAGAAAGACATTCAAGAATGCAAATCCATCAATTATTGCTCAACAATAGACAAAATATACAACAACCACATGGTTTGTTTTGAGCAAAAGAAAAATCCTAAACAAAACAAAAGAGCATAAAGGTAAAAGGCATGCAAGCAAATAAATCCCAATCGTCAAACAAAGATCGTTCGGCATCAACACCAACGATCACCAGATTTCGAAGAATCAAGAGCATACATCCTCGAACCATTCAACTCCAATCTAAACTAAAGCTATCCTAAAGCACACCAAAGAAAAATAAAATGAAAGAAAAGTTAGAAAGATCTCACCGAAATAACGCCCAAGTGAGCATATCCAAATGGAAAGCATGCGCCCTAAAAGTGGTGAGAATCCAAATAGAAGGAAAACAAACTATATACACAAAAGGGTTAGTCCGGATGGACGAGAAAGAAATAAAATGCAACTCCCATTCGACTTTTTATTTTATTTTATTTTATTTGGGTAGAATATAGTTTTATTTTTGCTTCACTACTCCCAATTCAACATTACCTTATCAATCATCGAACCATATATACACACACCGGTCAATCGCCATGTCGGCGAATATCAGTAATCATCGTCATCATCATAGACACATCAAAAACTCAACAACCATAGCAGTGAACAGGGGCAAAAACAACCAAACAAACAGTCATGCAATCCAGCAGAATCAGCAGCATCAAGGTACGAGTAAAACAATGAAAGACCGACAGGCACGCAAGTAAGAATATCAGCCAAGTCACTCCCTACTAAGAGTATATCTCGTTCTCATTAAAATAAAAATGCAAAACAGGGGAGAGATATACTCTAGGGACGTAGCCTACTGGCCACTAGAGCTAGGCTAACTAGGTGAGTCATGCTGAGGTGGCAGCTTGTCATAGCTGAAGCCACTAGGTGGGACGAAAAGGCCCCAGCCACCGTCAAAGCCCGGTGGCCAACCGTAGTGAGCCCTGAAAAGATCCTCTTTCCAGCTGGGCAAAGGATCGGAGGGAGTGTCCTCAGACTGGGAATACAGAGGGGCGGGGTGATCAGGATGCACATAGGGGTAAGAAGGGTCCCCTCTAAAGTCACACCCGCCGGGCACACGATAATCGTACTGCCCGTCCTCTGGGAAGCTGCGGAGCTCCCTACTAGGCTCAGAAGGACCTTGCCAGTAGGGGTAAGTGGGGAGATTGTTCCCCCCCCCCCCAAGAAGGAACAGGGCCGTGCTGAGGCGGCCAATTAGGGTAGTTCACGGGGGGAGCAATCTCTCCTCTGTCCACAGCCGAGTCAAAGAGGGCATGCTGCTGCAGATGGTGGCCCTGTTGTGACTCATAGATTGCCTGCAATTGCCTAGCTATGTCAGATAGCTGGAATGTACCTGTGGGCTGTTGTGCGCCCGCCTGCTGCTGCTGCTGCTGCTGAACCTCCTCCTCTACCTCCTCTTCATCACCTACCCCTCCCTCATCATCCCCATCAAGCTCGGGCACTTGCCCGTTATCTCTCAAAACTCTCCATAATCGGTGGCACGGGTGATGGAGGTAAGGTGGGGTTTGGGAAGAAAGCAATGGTGTCTCCCTCTCACAAGCCAGCTGTAGTGGGCAGGATTAGCGGTCGGCAAGGTAAATTCAGACCTACGAAGCTGTTCTAGGTCAAGGTAAATGTCACCTTTACTCCCCACGGGTGTGCATAGAGGTAACATATCAGTGTGCCCCAACTTAATGGCCAACCTAGTGACCATTGCTCCGCAGTGTATGTCTCCAGACCTCTTACCCTTTGCGATAGCTACACAGGTGGTCATGAAGAGAAAACCTAAGTTAAGCTTACGATGCTGCTCTCTCCTAGAAGCGATCCACAGAATACACACTTCCTCTTTAGTCAACTTCCCTAGGTCTTGCTTGCTAATAACAGAATATCCTAACAAACGGTGCAGGACCCTAAGGGCTGGGTGGAACATCTCACTAGCTATAGATTTCCTCGTGGTGAATTCATCTTTGCCAGAAATGTGACGCCACCAACTAGTCTCGTTGTATTCTCTAAAGTTTTCTTAAAGAGGGCGGTAGATATCCGCTTCTGGGAGGAAGTCTAAGGCTTGGTTGAATTGCCCGAAGGTTAGCTCATGCTGGGTGTTAAAGAGTTGGAATTTGATCTTATATACATCATTATCAAGATCCAAGGTGTCCACAGAGAAGGAGGAGAAGAATTCCAAGCAGGGTTCTAGGTAAGTCGTGAATGAGGAGTTAACAAAAGATCCCATCCTCAAATTCTCAAACAGAAACCACAAGTCGTCATTTATTCCCAATTTCTCCATGTCCTCTCTATGGTAATGCCTTGAGGGTCTGAATTTTCTTTTTTCATATCATTATAGACGGAGGCATGGTTTTTGTTAATGAATTTCAAAGTAGGAAGAATGTTTGTTGTATTGGGGTTAGGGTTTTGGGACGATTGTCCCGAGTTAGCAGTTTTCCTCTTTTTCCCAATCCTTAACGAACTTATGACTACTCTTTTTTTTTTCAAACACAAGCCAACTCCGGCTAATTCCAACCACACCCCCACAAACTACAATGTACCTGTTCTATAACAATAGTAATTCAACAACAACCAAGTATGTCCACAATTTTGACACCAATTTTCACTGAATCAACAAGAATATCCAGCAATAATTTCAACAATAATCAATTGAATCTCAAAATTAATCTAAGATAATCAAATTCCTTGCTTAAAAATCAATCAAAGGAGAATAATTAACAAAGGAAATTGAATACCTTTACCCTTATGCGAGTGAATTGTTGTTTGGTGTCGAATTGTTGAAGGGAAGAAGATGAACTTGAGTGTGATGGTGAGAAGCGCCGCTGTGGTGATGATGGAGGATAATGACCTTGAAGCTTGCGTGAAGATGGAGTAAGTGGATTTGAAAGATGGGAAAGTTAGGGTTTGTGAGTTTTAGAGAGAGAGAGTGAGTGAGAAGAGTATTTTCTGTTTTTGAGGGTGAATGGAGAAGTAAGGGGGTTTCGGTGTTGAGGAGTCCTTCACTCATTTTTTTTTTTTCTGAAATCGCAACAGGCAGGCCCGCTCCGGATAGAGACGCGCCCGCGCCTAAGTTGAGGGATTTTTTAATAACTTTTTCAGATCGGACGGCGCGCCCGCTCCTCTTTCGCGCTCAAATCGCGCCCCTTACTGGCTTTTCTAAAGATTTGGGCATCAGATATGGCGCGCCCGCTACGTAATCAGCGCGCCCGCGTCACCTTCAGATGCGCGATCTCTCCTCATTCGCACACAAACCGCGTACCTAACTGACTTTTTCCTCCAATTTCAGCCCATAGATGATGCGCGCCCGCTCTTGATTTGGCGCGCCCGCTCCGAAACTGAGGCGCGGCATTTCCTCTTCCGCGCTCAAACCGCGGACCCTTCTGTTTTTTCTCATTCAATTTGAGCCCCTAGATGAGGCGCGCCCGCTCCTGGTTAGGCGCGCCCGCGCCACCTTGCAGCGCGACCTCTCCTCTCAATATATCACTTTTGCTTCAAATCTTCTCTTTTCTCTAAAACACTTCCCATAACACCTACATCACATTATACAAGAAAAGAGTTAGAGAGATTATACTAAGCGGTTTAAAAGAAAATAGAATAAAAAAGGTTAGAAACCGGGTTGCCTTCCATAAGCGCTTCTTTAACGTCACTAGCTTGACGTACTTCACACCAAATCACGACGACTTAAAAACATCAATGAGAGATAAATGCTCTGGCTTCTCAATTAGTTGACCCTCATAGTATGGCTTGAGACGGTGCCCATTCACTTTGAACGGAGGGTACTTGTCATTATATATCTCAACCGATCCAAAAGGAAAGGCTTTGGAAACTTGAAATGGCCCACTCCATCTAGACATCAATTTCCCAGGGAAGAACTTGAGTCTTGAATTGTAGAGTAGGACCTTTTGTCCTTCCACAAATTCCTTCTTGGAAATTTGAGCGTCGTGCCACGCCTTGGTTCTTGCTTTGTAGAGGCCTGCACTATCATATTCGTTCATTCTCAATTCTTCCAACTCATGAAGCTCTAGAAGCCTTTGTTCACCCGCACTATGGAGATCAAAGTTGATTCGCTTGATTGCCCAATGCGTTCGGTGTTCCATTTCTACGGGTAAATGGCAATTCTTCTTATAAACAAGTTTATAGGGAGTGGTACCTATAGGAGTCTTGAAGGCGGTCTTATAAGCCCACAAAGTGTCAATGAGTTTGGAGGACCAATCCTTTCTCGTTCTTGCCACCGTCTTTTCCAAAATGATCTTAAGCTCCCTATTAGTTACCTCCGCTTGACCACTCGTTTGAGAGTGGTAGGAGAGCCCTCGCTTATGGGATACACCATACTTATCAAGAAGTCTAGCAAAAGTGTGATGCTTGAAATGTGACCCTCCATCACCAGGGACACCAAACCTCGGAAAGATCACCCTTTTGAATAAGTTCACAACCACCTTGGAATCATTTGTAGGAGAAGCCACAGCTTCTGCCCATTTAGAGACGTAATCTACGGCTACCAAGATGTATTTGTTCCCATTAGAAGAAATGAAGGGCCCCATGAAGTCTACTGCCCATACATCAAAAACTTCAAGCTCAAGGATGGGGTTTTAAGGCATTTCATCCCTCATAGAGATGTTCCCCACTCTTTGAAACCTATCACAAGTTTTAACAAATTGCCAAGCATCTTTGAATAGAGAGGGCCAAAAGAGCATACATTGCAAGACCTTGGAAGAGGTCTTTTGAGCACTCATGTGACCACCACAAGGGGATGAGTGGCACATTGAGAGCACATCTTGGAACTCTTCATTAGGAACACATCTTCTCAAAAATCCATCTACCCCTCTCTTCAACAACATAGGGTCATCCCATATATACTTCTTTGCTTCATGCTTGAGCCTTCGATGTTGTTGAGGAGTGAAATCCAGGGGTACGGTACTACAAGCCAAGTAGTTCACAATATCCGCATACCAAGGCTACGATTTTGCCTTAAGAGCATATAAGACATAATCCATTAGGGCATCTTCAATTGGCAAACCATCCTCGTATATTCTTGCACCTCCCAACCTAGAAAGGTGGTCCGCCACCACGTTCTCGGCCCCCTTCTTATCTCTCATTTCGTAATCAAAGTCTTGAAGGACCAAGACCCATCTCAACAACCTCGGTTTGGCCTCCTTCTTGCTTATCAAATATTTGAGAGCCGAGTGATCGGTATACACTATTGTCCTAGAACCAATGAGGTAGGTTCTAAACTTCTCAAATGAATGAATAACCGCCAAGAACTCTTTCTCGATTGTTGTATAATTCCGTTGAGCATCGTTGAGAGTCTTGGACAAATAGTATATAACATAAAGTTTCCCATCCTTTCTTTGTCCTAGAACCGATCCAATGGCCTCGTCGCTTGCATCACATATTAGCTCGAATGGTAAAGACCAATCCGGTCCTTGGACTATGGGGGCGGTGCAAAGAGCCTTTTTCAACCTACAAAATGACTCATGGAAAGCTTCATCAAATACAAAATCTTTATCTTGCTGCAAGAGAGATGTGAGTGGCTTAGCAATTAAATAAAAATCTTTTATAAAACGACGATAGAACCCGGCGTGGCCAAGAAATGACCTCACTTCCCTTACATTGGTAGGGGGTGGGAGTTTCTCTATGACCTCCACCTTGGCTCTATCCACCTCGATGCCGGCATGGGAAATTTTGTGCCCAAGAACAATCCCATTCTCTACCATGAAATGGCATTTTTCCCAATTCAACACGAGATTAGCCATCTCACATCTTTCCAAACAACGAGATAAGTTAGATAGACAATTTTCATAGGTGGTCCCTCCAACGGAGAAATCATCCATGAAGACCTCTATCTCATCCTCAATCATATCACTAAAGATTGACATCATACATCTTTGAAATGTAGCGGGAGCGTAACAAAGCCCAAAAGGCATCCTACGGTACGTAAAGGTACCATAGGGACAAGTAAATGTTGTCTTCTCTTGATCCTTGGGATCAATCGGGATTTGGACAAAATCCCGAATATCCCTCAAGAAAGCAATAGAAGGCATGCTTTGTAAGCCTCTCAAGCATTTGATCAATAAACGGTAATGGAAAATGGTCTTTGAAAGTGTTGGCATTCAATTGGCGGTAATCAATACGCATACGCCAACCCGTAACAAGCCGGGTTGGGACTAATTGTTGCTTATCATTGACCATTACCGTCATACCTCCTTTTTCGGCACTTCTTGAACCGGGGATACCCAATCACTATGAGCAATTGGATAGATGATCCCTGCTTCAAGTAGCTTGGAAACCTATTTCCTCACAACCTCTTGCATGGAAGGATTAAGCTTCCTTTGCCGTTGCCTACACGGCTTAACACCCTACTCTAAATTGATTTTATGCATGCATAGGGAGGGACTTATACCCTTGAGATCATCAAGAGTATAACCCAAAGCCTTCCTATTCTTTTTCAAGACATTTAGCAATGAGGAGGTTTGCTCTTCCGTGAGGTTAGCACTGACAATAACCGGGGAAGTATCATTAGCATCCAAAAAGACATACCTCAAGCCCGAAAGTAGAGGTTTCAATTCTACCTTCGGAGCTCCCTTACCATTGGAGATCTCCTCCTTCTCTACCTTGAAGATTTCATGTGTTTGGAGCATCTCTTGGTCGGTGATTGTCTTCTCTTTCTCATCAAGTATTTCTTCATACAATTGCATCTCCTTTTGATCGACTACTTCATTCTCATTCAACAAAACATTCTCAATTAGATCATTAGAAGCACGCATATGAGGGTATCTAAACTCATTCATCAAATTTTCAATTGTATCTATTCTAAAGCATTCTTTACTAGAGGAGGGTTGTCTCATTACCTTATTCAAGTCAAATTCAATAGAATCATTGTCAACCTTCAAGGTCATATTACCTTCTTTGACATCGATGATCGCTTTAGAAGTAGCTAGGAATGGCCTACCCAAAATTATAGGAATTCTTTCATCTTCATCAATCTCAAGGACATAAAAATCCACCGGAAAGGTGAACTTACCAACTCTAAGGGGGATGTCCTCTACTTTCCCTATAGGCAATTTTGTGGACCTATCCGCTAGTTAGAGAGTGATGTTTGTAGGTGAAAGGCTTCCCACATTGATCTTTTGGTAGACCAAGAAGGGCATTAAACTCACACTAGCACCTAGGTCACACAAAGCCATCCCCAAATGGATCTCATTGATAGAACAAGGAATGGAAAAACTACCGGGGTCTTGCAATTTGGTTGGTAGCTTACTAGAGAGAATGGCACTACAACTGGCGGTTAGATTAACGGTCTCAACTCATCTCTTTCCATTCAAAAGGTCTTTTAGAAATTTAGAGTAGTGAGGCATCTCCTTCATAGCATCCACAAAGGTTATAGAAACATGCAAGCCTTTAACTACTTCTAAAAACTTTCTGAATTGGGTATCAAGCTTAGACCTAGCAAATCTTTGGGGAAAAGGCAACCTCTCATTCCTAGGTTGGAGATTAAGGGGTAAAGGTGTTTGCTCTTTGGTGCTCTCCTTTTCGGGTTCCTTCTCTTTTTCTCTCTCACCCCTCTCATGCTTTTCGGCACTTCCTTCTAGAACCTCACCCTCTCTTTATGACTCATCCTCAACCTCAAGTCCTATCCCTTTATCGGAACTCTTCTCAACATTTAAATCACTCTCAAGGATCTTCCCACTTCTAGTGGTAATGGCATACATAGATTTGGGGTTGACACCTTGGCTAGGTAAAGAAGAAGAGGAAGAAGGGGAGGATGAAGAACTTGGTTGGGCAATTTGGGAGATTTGGGTCTCAAGCATTTTCATGTGTGCCTTAATTTGTTTCTTTTCCTCCTCTTTACTCTTGTTGTAGCTCTCTTGATTCTTGATGAAAGCTTGGAGCATGCCCATCATAGAATTCGGAGCGGCCTCAACTTGAGGAGGAGGTGTGTTAGAAATTTGGGCTTGTGGCCTAATTTGTTCAAAACCGGGAGGTCTATTTTGAGGCCTTCCATTTCCGGAACCGTGATTGGAATTAAATCGTTGTTGGTTGTTGGAATAGTGTTGTTGGTTTTGATTCCAATAGGGCCTTTGGTTTGAGTAACTTCTTCCAATGAAATTAGAAGATTTCCCCTTACCTTGGCCTTGGTTATCATAACTACCAACACTTTGATTCCATTGATTTTGATTCCAACCTTGATTTTGATTCCAACCTTGATTTTGATTCCAACCGCGGTTTTGGTTTTGATTCCAATTTGGCCGCATTCCAACATTTCCCTCACGGGGGACAAAATTCATAGCATTAACATCTTCAACATTATCATCAACATTTTCTTGGGAAGGGCTTTAATATTCGTTAATGGACATGCATTGTTTGGAATTATGGTCATAGTTTCCACATATATCACAAAACATACAACCAGGAGGCATAGCATTGTAATTAGAGGGAGAAGAAGTAGAAGGATTCATACCATGGCCTCTCTTGGTAGAAGGAGAGGAAGTATTTTGAGTGCTTGATTTCATGAGCTCCTCCATTTGTTTCACCATCTTTGCCATTTGGTTGGAATGATTTGTGATGGCATTAGTTTGCTCGATGGATTGCACCGTTCCTTTGCTTGAAGTGGCTTCCCTCTCACCTTCATACCAATCCTCATAATTCCGGACCACATCTTCTATTATGCTTTCAACTTCGTCCTCTCTCTTGTTCATAATAGGGCCACCGGCCCCGGCATCTAAACTTGTCTTGCTTTGGGGTGAAAAGGCTCGATAGAAAGTTTAAAGAATTTGGTAGTTGGGAATGCCATGATGAGGGCATTGTCTTTGGAGTTCCTTGTACCTTTCCCAAGCCTCACATAGAGACTCACCTCCCCTTTGGCGAAAGCTTTGAATTTTAGAACGAGCCTCGGCAGTCTTCTTATGATTATAGAACCTTGCCAAAAATGCCGTAGTAACCTCATTCCATGTTGTGAGAGATCCGGGAGGCATGTCATTATTCAACCAATGCTCGGCTACTCCCATAAGAGAGAATGGAAACATCTTCAAACGAATGTACTCTTGGGTTACTCCGTTGATCTTGATGGTGTCACAATACTTGAGAAATTCTTTGAGAGGCTCATGTGGGTTCTCAAACTTACCACCCGTGAATTGCCTCTTTTCTATCAAGGAGATGAAGTTAGGCTTCATTTCAAAATTGTTTGCTTGGGTAGTAGGAGCTAGGATCCCACTTTGAGAGGTATATGGTTCAGGTGCTCCAAGTTGCTTTAGTGACCTTTGATCACCCACGTTTCCTTGATCACCCATACTTTGTTGATTATGGTTATTGGCAAATGGGTCGGGATTTGAGCCTTTGGGTGATTCACTCTCCTCGCTTGAATTGGGTGAAGATGGGGTAGGGGAACTTCTCACTTCCTCTTGAAGTGGGTCTTCACTTCTCTCCCTTGCTTGTCTCCTCAATTGGGTTAGAGTACGCTCTAGCTCGTGGTCTATGGACACCAAAGGCCTAGAGCTATTAAGCCTCCTGTGCATATACAAAGCTAAGCAAAAAGTGAGCACTG